CCATTTTACCTCTAGTGCCTTTCTCCTGGCTTGGAACTGAACCTGATGGATTTTTCTTCCAAAAATTGGCTTCTTATGGCAATGTTCTGATTCCCTAAATGTGACTGACAACATATTGTATTGGGTTACCTGGAACCTTTGATTGGAAATTGACTATTCTTCCCAAATGCAGACTTGTTCTTTTTGTTCCTGATTTCTATGCAAGATGCTTTAACATTGTAATGTGCATTGTGTTACTTTAGTGAAGCATTTATGACTGCAATAAATTCCTTGTCTTTGTAGCAGAAGCTGGCTATATATATATGCAATTGGCAGCAAAGAACTCTGGGTTTCAAGTAACATCATTCTACATACGAAGCAAGAGTTATAGCCAATGTGCTTGTGGTAATGTTAGGAGTAAAAGACATTAGAAAGACACATGGCAGCCTGCTTATCCTATCTGCCTGTCAGTACATTTGTATGCTCTAACTTATACATATAAATTCAATTCACTTTGCATATTCTATGAAGACTGCCCACACCTTTTACTGCATTCTCCATAGAATGTGAGGATGAATTGGTGCATGCAATAGTGCAGTCTTCAGATGCTAATCAAACAGAGTTCATTGAGAGTTATTCCTAGTAAAAAGGATAGTAATACTGCATCCCTGCCCACAATGGGAAACTGAAAATCTGCCACAATGATGTAAGCTTTCTGTGAACCACTTGAGTAATTAACTAGAAAACACTCAAGACTTAGAGAGTTCAAATCTGCCTTGTAACTTGAATCATAGTAGTCTTCTATCAGGAAAAGTTACAGTCCCAGCTTCTAGAAAATCTGGAGAATGAGTTGTTTTCCACAGAGGACAAACAATGCTGCCATCTTCTCCACTCAGAGATACACAATAATCATTGTTTGTAGTTACTGGCATGTCACTGTCAACCATTCACTTCTTTCCAGGGGTGGGTTTCTTCCAGTTCGCACCTATTCGCTAGAACCGGTTGTTAACATTCTAAGCAGTTCGGAGAACCGGTTGTTAGAAGAAATTAATGGCCTAATCCTAAGGAATGCAGGAAGGAAACATTCTGGTGTTGCTTACAGAAACTGCCTCTCCGTTAACCCTTAATACATTCTTGGCAGGACTAGACTTCCTGTCTCTGGAACTTCTCTGGAGTTATTTTTCCCTCCTTTGCTGGTACTTTGCTTGTGTAGAGTGACCATTCAAAGTTACAATGGCACTGAAAAAAGTGACTTATGACCATTTTTCACACTTACGACTGTTGCAGCATCCCCAAAGTCATGAGAGGCCAGGCGAGGAGATGCGTGCCTCGATGTGAGTGATATTGAGTTGGCCGCACACAGCCAATAACATGACCACCAAGCCACACCCACCAACCAAGCCACGCCCACAGAACCGGTTGTTAAAAAATTTGAATCCCACCCCTGCTTCTTTCCAACCCTCAGTCACTATATGGATCAGGAGTCTCCATGCCCCTCTGTCTCGCACTGTTTTCTTCAGATCCACCATGATCACCCCAGTGTCACCTTTTATAGTGTCCAGCTAGCAGGTACCAGGATGACCCTTCTCCCGCTAATCGCTCCCAGCAAGACTGACTTTTTGAGTAAGTCAGCTCTCATGACATTGTGGTTCAGAGAGTTCAGGTTCAGATGAGTCAGACCAGACGGAGGGGGGTATCTAGATTACCATCGATGCCAGCGGAAGGCTCTGTGGAGCAGGAGGTCTCAGAGCCAGATGCAGAGCAGGGCCCATCTACTCACACTCAGGTGGAGAGACAGCTGTTTTTTTGTTCCTGAGCTGAGCGAGAAGGAACAGCTGGGCCCTGTCCCAGATACGCATATGCACAGAGAAGTGTGGAGAGGAGAGCAACGCAACACTGAGCGCCAGCTATCCAGGAAAAGAATGAGATGTTAACAAGCCCCTTCCTGGCTGGGATATCAGGGTGACGGGTGTGGAAGGCGTGGTTGTCGGAGACATCCATTCATGTTCCAGAAGAGTTCCCTCTGGCGGATTCTTTGCCAGGATTTCCTTGCCACTAACCAGATTGGTCGGGATTCTTCCTGTTGGGATTGAAGTGTTACTTGAAGCTCCCTGCAATTCGACTTATTATATCTAGCGGAGTTTTATCAAAGAAAGTTAAATGTATTCACAAATCTCTCTGCTTTGTCTTTACTCATTGCTCAAGTGAACAAATTCATGAAATCCTGGATGCAATGCTTAATCTTATACTACAGATGGAAGGCAATTAGCTAAGGTTATTAATTTACCATTATCGGGTTGTTTCTGCTCTTAATTAGCTGTAAAAAGATTGATAAAGGGGGCACTGAATGTCTACACCCAAAGGAAGCTTATTAGAGAACAAGGGAAGAAAAGACAAAAACAAATGGAGTCAGTGGGGAAGCACAGGAAAAAGGTTTTTATAAAGCATACTGATTTGGGCTATTTAGAGCCTAACATTTTTCCTAGGCTAGGGTTTCCTGTGGGGTCTGGGAGATGTGTGACTGCTTTTAAGAAATGTGTCAGACAGTACATATTAAGGCTTGTCCACCAAGGCACTACAGGTGTGTTTGTTTATTCATTCCATTCTGTTGTACAGAAGATCTCCCAAATCACAACCAGAAGTAGAATTTCATGTCTTGGCCTGAGAAAATAATTGAACATGTGCATTAAATAGCAGTGTGCTTCACCTTGCTATAGCTGAATCCTGTCCATTTTACATAGAGCCAAAGTTCATAGGCTTGGAAGTTACCTATTTGCAGGATTCCTTGCTTCTGGTTAATTCATGCCACCATATCTGACAAGGTGGACATGCTCTGGGTTCCATCTATTAAACAATGCCATCGGTTGGGATTCAGGAAACGTGACTCATCTATTATAAAAATCTATCCTTTTGAACTCCATATCCTCAGAGATTTGTAGAGCCCTGCCTTTGCTAGTATTTTAGAAATCCTTGAAGACTTCGATGTTCCGTTGATCATGGGGATCTGTTTGATTAGATGAGCCTGTCACTATTTCTCTTTTTTATTATTCAAGTTGAGTTTATCTCAAGGGACAATTGCATTCATTATTTTTATGGTTGGCTTTGGATTTAATCTTACGTGCATTCACTAAAGTTACAGTGGGTGATTAAATAAATTAATGCAATCAACTTCACCATTGTCATAGATAAATATCATTCACCTGGTTTATGTAGTTAATTAAAGCTGTAATCCAGGAAGCTGTTTGATGAATTGAAACATCTGCAGAAAATGATGCAGTCCTAGGAATCGTATTTGTTTGATCAGCCATAATGTTTTGATAGACAAATAGACAAAATGGTTTTCTGGCAATTCTGTACAGGTTAGTAATATAGGCCTGCAAATTTCCTTTTTTAAAAAAAATTAAATATTTTATTGATTAAATTTTTAAAACATTGGAAACGGTGTGATCGTCCTGGAATTCATTTTTGCCATACATACTATATATATGATATATATCTTATATACATTTATACAGTTATCTTATCTCTGTAGTTTTATCTCTTGTATTCCATTGTGCTTATTTACCTCAATTATCCATTCTATGAATCCTATTCATTTTTTATTCTGAGTCCCTCCTTTCTTTTCCCACCTTTGGTAAAATTTGTTCCATATCTTGTAATATTCTGTCTCATCTTTGTTTTTCAATTCCAGAGTCAGTCTGTCCATTTCAACACACATCAGTATTTTCTTTATCACCTCACCTTCATCAGGGATTTCTCTGTCTTTCCAATGTTGAGCAAAAACCATTCTTGCTGCTGTAATAATATGTACTATTAAATAGGTCACCTCTTTATTATATTTCTCTGTCATAATTCATAGAAAAAATACTTTGGGTTTGTATTCTAATTTATATCCAATCATCTCCTCTAACCACGTGTGTGTCCTATGCCAAAATTCCTGTATTTTTTTACAAGACCACCATGTATGATTATATGTACCTGGTTCTTGGGTACATTTCCAGCAATTTGGTGATAGATTTTTATACATTTTAGCCAGTCTTGCTTGCGGGGGAGATGCCATCTATAGAACATCTTGTATAAGTTTTGTTTTATACAATGTGGCCAGTGTTATATTTCTGTTTTGTTTCCATAATTCTTGCCATTTATCCAATTCTATATTATATCCAAAGTTTTTGGCCCATGCCACCATCGTTTCCTTGACCTGTTATATATACCTGTTATACCTCCATCTTATATTCCAATAAAAAATTTACAAATGTTCCTTATCAATTTATTGTCTGTTCCCCAATAAGATTGCGTTTAGTGTCATGGCTTGTCTACTAATCCCCCATTCTTTCATATCTTTCCCATATCGTGATTGGATTTGCAAATATGCCCACCATTCCAATTCTACCCCTTGTTCTTTTAGCTCTTGTCTCGTTTTTAATTCCCCCTTTTCATTTATAATATCCTTATATGTGATATTTTTTTCCTGGTTAATAAGGTTTGGGTGTACTATCACCTCTAAGGTGGATAACCAAACTGGAATTTCCATGTAGATTTGCTGTTTGATTTTATTCCATGTTGTAAATAAAGCTTGTCTTATCTGGTGTCTTTGAAAATATTGATGCACAACATATCTGCCGTACCACAGAAATGTGTGCCATCCTAGATGTAAGTTGTGGCCCTCTAATGTTAGCAGTCTCTTATTTTTTTAGCATTATCCAATCTTTCACCCAAGTAAGTGTCACTGCCTGGTAGCATATTTCCAAATCTGGTAAACTAAAACCTCCCCTCTCTTTAGTTTCTTGCAAAACTTTTACTTTAATCCTTGGTTTCTTTCCTTGCCATGTAAAGTTCAAAGTCATTTTGTTCAGGCAGATTTCCTCTTGAGCAGCAGGCTGGAGCAACAAAGAGTTGTAAATTAAGAATGAGCATTGGCAGGCTGCTTAGGGAAGGGAAGTTTTTTTTAAGAAAAGTTGTGTTTTCATAACCTCATTCTAGATTTGAGAATCATTTTTTTATTTATTTATGTTTTGCAGGATATGAATGATTACTCCCCAGTATTTAGCAAAACTCTGTACAGGGCCATGGTTGCTCCCGATGCGATCAAGGGCACCGTTATCACGATGGTGGAAGCTGGAGATTTGGACCCACCGGTAAGCAAAGAAAGGTTTTTCTTCATATTTTTTTAATGCAAAGAAGAATTTCTTTTAAAACCACATAAACAGATTTAATCCTCTGAACAATAGAAGTGATTACTGCATATGGATTTAACGGCAGTCGCTTTAATGCTAGCCTATCCTGAAGCTGCACTTCAATTACTGTTTTCCAAGATTGATAAGCTACAATGCAAATCTTTTTTCCCCACAACCAGCATTTCCCCACTCTGTGGCCCAGGTTTCTTTTTGATGAAATAATTGATGTTAGAAATCTTTAGTGGGCCTCAGCATGCAGATGGAACAAGGGATAAGCAAGAAATGCATTTCAAATAGCTAATCAGCTAGTTCAAATAACTCTAGTTCCAACAAGAAATAAATATTTTGAAGGGTTATTATTCCTGTGTTTTGTCATTTCTTTAAATCTTTCAGCTAGAAATGTACCTGTAGAAAAAGCTTAATTAAACTCTTTAAAAAGGAGTGAAAGTTTTGACAACTGCATGTGATTAAGTATTTTCTTCCTAACATTGTTCTCTTTTCAAATGCCGACACTGAATTGAAAGTGCTCTTAATGCTAAATTCTGGCTTCCTTATCAAGGTACTGAAGAATATAAGTAGTCAAAAATGTAATTTGAATTTTTATCAAACAACACTTACGTTAGATTGTCAAGAAGGTTAATATTAATAATTGTTACAGGGAATGTTTTCATAATTGATTGCTAATGGGAGAATGTCATATTGATGGCACATATTTAGTGGATATCCTTTCTATAAGCTAAATGAAGGCTCTAAGAGAGAGAGAGATTTCCTAATTTCTCAATAGACAAACATTTTAGTTAAATGATTTTTCCCCAAAGTTACCATAGTTTCATGATCACTGTAAATCTTTCTAAATATCTGGTATAAGTTTCAGAAGCCAGAGGCAAGCTAAGTTTCAGAAGCCAGAGGCAACCTATGGGTGGTGTCAAAGGCGTACTCTCAATTTATTACATTTCTATTACATTTATTACATTTTGTTTTTGGTATATTTTTAATCTGGTGGTGTGAAACATCCAGGATTCTCCAATGGAAGAAGAACAATGGACACGTTGTTCTTCTTCCAATTTGGAACAATGGGCACATTTGGAATTTTGAAAACATGTTGTAGGCACTTTCACAAAATGGTTGCCAAGCTACTCCTAATATTAACTTCTGATATTGTTGTGGTCATTAAGCAGCACTGCAACATTAATTGGAGAGCCAGTTTAATCCAGGTACTGGCCTGGAAACCAGGAGCCTGAGTTCTCATCCTGTTTTAGGCATGAAAGCCAGCTGAGTGACTTTGGGCCAGGCACACTTTCTTACCTCACCTCACCTCACCTCACCTCACGGGGTTGTTGCTGTGAGGAAAATAGAAGGAAGAAGGAGTATTAGGCATGTTTGACACCTTGAGTTACTTATAAAGTAAGTAGTAAAGGTGGGATTAAAGGATTTAATTTTAAGCACTGAAAAAACGTGACTTATGACCAGTTTTCACACTTACAACTGTTGCAGCATCCCCATGGTCATGTGATAAAAAAAAAAAATCAGGTCCTTGGCAATTGATTTATATTTATGACAGTTGCCGTGTGCTATGATCACGTGATACCCTATTGTGACTTACTGACAAGCAGTGGGGAAGCCAGATTCACTTTTCAACAGTTTGTCTAACTTAACAACTATTGTGATTCACTTACCACTTATGGTAAGAAAGGTCATCAAATTGAGGCAAACTCACTTAACAAATGTTTCACTTAGCAACAGAAACATTGGGCTCAATTGTGATTGTAAATCGAGGACTACCTGTATACATATGTATATAACAACTTTAATTGGACGGGCAGTATCAGAGCTGTAAAATCTCTGAAAACATTTATTTAATTAGAAGGTTATGGAATGGAATGGGATGTCCAATGAAAGAAGATTTGAGCCCCTTTCCCATGCTAATTTAATGTCATAATAGCTAACAGTTAATGCTAATAACAACACTAACAATTGGGGGAAATATTGGTTAACTATATTGTTTGACCAGCAGCATTGCTCCTAGTAGTATCTGAGAGACTAGAACAATTTGTTAAATCCTTTAAAGCCAAAAAAAAAACCTAATATTAATTTTTCTATGTGTTATCAGTAAATCAATTTGATCTGCAGATACTAGGAAATGATTGGAATAAAGAATTCAAATGTTTTATATTTCCTAGACAATGACTTAACTTCTATACCAAGTGTGTCAATGAATCTTAACTATTCTAACAAGTAGGTAACATAAATTCATAGAAGCAGAAAAAATTATGAGCATTAAGGAAATCATTAGTTTTAAAGGACGGATATTATGGTATTATGATTTCTCAAGGTAGATTTCACTAGTAGAAAAAGCAGATAACATGCTTTTTCTCTCTCTCTAAAATATAGTTTTTGGTCAGATTGGTTTTAAACCAGTGGTGGGATTCAAATTTTTTTACCGGTTCTGTAGGCGTGGCTTGGTGGGCGTGGCAGGAGAAGGATACTGTAAAATCTCCAGTCAGAGGTGGTATTTGCCGGTTCTCCGAACTACTCAAAATTTCCGCTACCGGTTCTCCAGAACTGGTCAGAACCTGTTGAATACCACTTCTGATTTAAACTATTTCCTGAACTGTAACCTATAGAATTGTTCCACACAGCGATCTGTTTATAGAATTGCTCAGTATGGTCATCTCTACTCCTTGCATATATTAATATCTGTCTCCTCTGACAAGGATTGGGGAGAAAATGACCAGTCTCCTGACACTTTGTGACTTATTTCAACTCCTTGGGTAGTTTTGGCAGAAAGGTCACAGATATGACTTGGCTAGATTCTTATCAAGAATCTTTACTGCAAAAAGAAGAAAGCCCACACAAAAAGTTAACTGTCCACTTCCAGTGAGTTCAAGTAGTTCAAATGACTTTTATATCTTTAGATTGCCAGCACTATGCTTAGTAGCCTTGAAGCCAAGCTTTTACATAAGGACCCTATTTGGCCTGAGAAACACTGGATTCTACCTCAACCCTAACAATTAAATTATGTGCGTTGTTTTTCTGTAGACTGTATAAGTGCAATGGCCACAAGCTGTGCTTATGTAGCAGAGAAAGCCACAAAACCAGGGGTGGGATTCTACCAGTTGGCACCTATTTGCTAGAACAGGTTGTTAACATTCTAAGCAGTTCGGAGCACCAGTTGTTAGAAGAAATTACTGGCCTAATCCTGTAAGGAAGGCAGGAAGGAAACATTCTGGTGTTGCTTATAGAAACTGCCTCTCTGTTAACCCTTATTACATTCTTGACAGGACTAGACTTCCTGTCTCTGGAACTTCTCTGGAGTCTTTTCCCCCTCCTTTGCTGGTACTTTGCTTGTGTGGAGTGACCATTCAAAGTTACAGTGGCACTGAAAAAAGTGACATATGACCATTTTGGTTTGAAATTGGATTTTCTACAGTACACGTATTCCTCAATTTACAAGTTTGTTTAGTAACCGTTCGAAGTTACAATGGCACTGAAAAAAGTGACTTATGACCATTTTTCACACTTACAACTGTTGCAGCATCCCCACAGTCATGAGAGGCCAGGCGAGGAGATGCGTGCCTCGATGTGAGTGATATTGAGTTGGCCACGCCCAGCCAATAATATGACCACCAAGCCACACCCACCACCTAAGCCATGCCCACAGAACCAGTTGTTAAAAAATTTGAATCCTACCCCTGCACAAAACCTATAATGAAAAAACCTGATTCCATCACCCCCTCCTTCTACCATTAAATGCAAGTTTTTGACAGAAATTTTGGGACACCTTTAATATTGCATTAATTATCAAATCATATGTCTTGATGTGTTTTTAGATGAGATCTACCAATTGAGATTGAGAGAGTCCAGAAATATTTCATGAGAAGAGTCCTCCACTCCTCTACTTGCAACAGAATACCCTATGCCTCCAGACTTGAAATTTTAGGCTTAGATAACTTAGAACTATGCCGCCATCAGTCTGACCTAAGCATAGTACATAAAATTATCCATTACAATGTCCTACCAATGTCAATGACTACTTCAGCTTCAACCTCAACAATACACAAGCACACAATAGATGCAAACTCAGGGTAAACCACACAAAACTCAATTGTAGGAAATACAACTTCAGCAGCAGAGTGGTCAATGCCTAGGAATACTCTACCTGAGTCTGTGGTTTCTTCCCCTAACCCCAAACACTTTCACCTCAGACTGTCTACTGTTGGCCTCATCCCATTCCTAAGGGATCTATAAGGGGCATGCATAAGCACCCCAACATGCATACCATCCCTGTCATAATGTTCCCTTTTATTTGTATCTATTTTATATATTAATAATCATGTTTATACTTTTATATATATATTATCAAATACATGCCTGACAAAATAAATAAATAAATGAAAAATAAAAACATAATTGTGCTACCAAGTAACGTCTTTTTGATCCAATCAGTTTGAGCATAAGCAACGTGGCCCATTCTGTTTTCTTCTCCCATCTCATCTCAACTTCCTCCACATTAGATTTCATTTTATTCTGATTGATATAGCTAAACATCTGTGGAGATTCTCAGTCATCCAGGTTATGGTTGTCTCAAAGGTGCTTTTTTTCAAGATGCAACTGGACTTTCTGGTTTTCTTTGAAGACATTTTGTTTCTCATCCAAGCTTCTTGGAGGAGAAACAAGAAACGAAGCTTGGATGAGAAACTAAACGTCTTCAAAGAAAAATCAGAAAGTCCAGTTGCCTCTTGAAAGCATCTTTGGGACATCTGATTGATATCCTTTATTGTTTATTGAAGCCATACAATGTTATTGAAGGATACCTTTTAACTTTACCTAATACTATCAAAAAGTTTAAATTTCAGAATAGTAATTCAATAGCACTCTCTTAGCAGGTGGTGAAATTGAGCCATTAGGACAATTAACAAGAACATGCATAATGTTCTTGCTTTATTTAAAATTAAATAAGC